TGTAACGAACTATCACTGCTGAAACAGATTAATGACATGAAACGAATCAATCATGAATTAAACATTGCCGTTCAGATAAATCCATCCATAAGTTCAGATCATATTCAAACTCACCGTCTAGCGAAAATTCTTCGGATGTCTTGACGATCCGTGATCGCATTATAAATCTCGAATATCTTTTCGTCATCAAACTCCGAGCGAGCGATGCCCCACACGTTTCTTATTTTCTATAAGCGCTCAGCAAAACTGAATAATTATCATCAATTTTGAAATGTTAAGACGAAACGAAAAGAAAACAACATGAATGCACAAAATGAAATATGCGTAAACGTAAACTTCTTTTTCATTAAATATTCCACTGGCACTAAGAGTGCGCTGCAAACGCGTTGTGTCATTGTTGCTCCCGGAAAGCGGTACGATCACTTTAATTACGCTGAAACATCCATCTTAAACTTTCGAAAAATTCTGTGTATCTATGAGAATACACTACAGGTTCCGAATTTGTGCCATGAGATTCTGAACGCATTTGATAGTCTTCTTACAAACATTGAATAAATATTTGATTTACAAAGTTAGATCAAACTGTTCAATTTTTTAGTTGCAAGAAACAATGAACCAATCCAAAATGCTTCCAATTACAGTGCAGATGAATGAAACTATAAGCTTAACCATACGAATAGTTGGATATTAGTGAATTTAAATGGAATTTAAACGTCTAGACGGTAGGAACATGACAGAAACTAACTCATCAATGGTGATAATTTGTTCATTATTCGCGTATCGGAGAGGTGCGAAAAGTTTTTGCAGATAGAACAACACACCTCGTTGATTTCGACGTGTTTCTTGACTCAATTTGAATATATAATCGGCCCATTCATCCACTTCTTTGGCCTTAATTAATCTGAGATTAGTTTCCCTAATCGGTTTGCCTATTTATCTTGTGTTCATTTGCATAACTGCTTATAAGTTTGATCACAAGTCAATGAAACATTTTACATAAACCTGAACTGTTAAGATTTATTTGGAAAATTGCATGAAATCAACAATATATACAAAGAGTTTTCAACGGCATTTTACTATATGAAAGTTTTACAAAAATGAGAATGGAATCAAAAGAGAAGAAAAACGGTGTTCGTTGAATAAGTGACCTGTTCAGGTGTAATCATAAATGTTAGAAATTCTGGATTCACAAAATCAGTATTCAATACGATTGTCATTAGACATTCTTGTAGAATATTTGCATCATCGAATTTGGCCATCGGGTGTTCGAGTACCTCAAATAGATTTTGAAATGCATTTTGGTAAATCTTTCAATCTTTATCGAGCCTCATGATTTTGGTTGCTCACAAATTATCACTCATAGAAAACTTTTTACGATTGAATCGTCGTTAAACTTCAGAAATATGAATATCCATACTTGATTGATCGGAACAGTTGATAAATTTCCCTTCAAGTGGGCAGTTTGATCGCTTTTCATTTAGTTCGTATGAAAACAATTCAGAGAAAAAGGTGAACGTTGAATAGTCCCATAATACGGGATCACGATGGATGAATATTACTAACCGCATACTTTCCTTTGCGAACATCCACCACATTTGCGATGAATCTGTATTCGACTTCCTGCAAATACTTTTCGATGATGAAAATAGAGCAAATGACTGCATAAGATTCGTGCGCAATTCTCTGAATGCGAACATTAATTTCAGTGCAATCGTAATTATATCAACCAGGCGATTTACGGTTCCAGATTGAACGAAAGTGCCATTCATAACGCATTGTTACCTTCGTTTTTGACCAATTATGTTCACGAGTCCAGTAAAAGATGTGTCCGCCAGGATCAACACGTAACACACATGAATGACCCGGACCTGGATATGAGTTTGGGTCTGCATTCTTCTGAAAAAATTTCTTAAATAGCAAAAATCAACTGCAAACGGAATTCTTAGCGTTCTTTTCTTGAGAGCAATACGCTTGAAAATCTTATGAAACAACTGTTCGACTGTTCGAATAAGTTTCTAAAAATAATCTGCTACTGAACTTTCAAGGCTATCCAATCAATCAGATGGTCTAGGTTCGGAATCCAGTAGCATAAATTTTAAAGTTTCATTCATACTTCTGTTCTAGTCACGATACACATTCTAGGATTATAATTCAAATATCGGATAGGATCTCAAATAACAATACATAAAGTGAAAAGAGAAAATAGTTGCAATTGCAGAAGACTTACGCCCTTCCACTTTAAAAAACGTTGACCTGTGCAAAATTTTGACTCAGGCTTCATCTGAACGAAAGATTATCGTTAAGAATTATCGTTATTGTCGAATTTTCTAAATAAGCTTCGACGAATCAATAGCAATTTCCATTATCTGATTAATTTTGAAGACGATGGATAAATTAAAAATTTATAACACTTGAAATGCATGCGAATGAATATGAATAATCATGCGCATTGTTTTAACAGCATTTACTGAACCGGGAGAGTACTCATGAGGATATATTAATCAAAGGATGACATCTAAATGCTATGTAAGACGATAACATAAAAATGAATTAATCGGGGCGAAAAACAAATTTGTAAACTCCAAAATGTCTTCAGTAAACATTTACAATGAGCAATACCTTTCATCTTCGCATGATGAAGCATTGAACTGTCGCCCTGTGCGCTCAATACTATTGACTGCGTTCGTTCCTATTTAAACACGTCTGAATGTTAACAGATAAGGAATTTAACGACCCTCATAAAGCGTTATGATTTTGCATAAAATCAAATAGATTTTGATAGAGTGTTATGCGACAATGTCGAATAATCGATTGAGGTAAGGAAATATTGAATTTGCATGATTCAATTAAAATGCT